CTTTATCTCTCTCTCTCTCTTTATCTCTCTCTCTCTCTCTCCTGGAATCTCTTTCACTTGTTTTTTCTTTTATAACATTCTGGGCCTCTGGTTTCATAAACACAGTAAAAATGGGATCTTTTTCGAAGATGTGATTTTGTATTGTTCGGGGCAATTTAGGATAGTTTTTATTGGCTTTTTGTAGCTTTCTGTAACAACTGCTTGGGGTCCCCCCCAATCCATGCAAGAGTTTTCCTATTAATATTCTTTTTCTTTTTAGGCTCATTTGTTTGAGGAAATGCTAATCTCTCGTTGCGGAACCATTCTGTCGGGTTCATAATCGTTAGATCATTATATAATGATCTAATAGTTACAAACCCCGACATAATGGTTCCGTAAAGAAACCGTAGCATCTTCTCATTTGTTTGTGGCGGATTAGCGATTAAATTCGATAATTAGCTTGGTAAAAGATTAAATTAGTTAAATGAAGTAAATTTTTAGACCAAAAATGTTAATTTTGAAAATGTCCAAATGAAAGCATTTTGGGAAAAAATAATTCAAAAAAGGCAATACAATTGAATATTTAATAGCTACAATTTTCTATTTACCATACTTTGTTTGAAAAATTTCAAATTGAATTTCCTAATTAAATCAATTAATACAATTAATTAGCAGCTATCAGATAGTAACTAAACAAGTTGTTTGTTTGTTTGTTTTTTTTTTTAATGCAATTCTTTTGTTCAATTTTATGGAGTCATCGGATGGCTTGGCTTATGGATTCATCCACAGTTATCCACAAATAGTGTATTCATAGGTGTCCTACTCCTACAATAAATACACTTTGAACAGGTGTCAATAAATTACGTGATAAATAGCTCCATAAAAAAACCATCTGAGAACACTACATAATTTTTGTTCTTTTGTTTTACTATTTGGCACAAAACATTGGAATAAAGATGGTTAAGCATACAAGACTAATAGAGTAATAGCTATTGGTATTGTAATAGATTGAGACAAGGAAAGAACAAAAAGTGAATTTATGTGTCACCAATTATTCCCTAATTTCTATTTTTTGTGAACTAAGCTTTTGTAAATCAATGCATTAGGGCGTGATTATATATTATTTCTCGACTAAATATCCCACTCAAAACTCAAATTTAACTTAACTTTAACTCAACTCTACTATCTCCAATATTATCAATATAATTACATAATACCAACCAATCATTATTACACATTACATCAACTTTAATTCACTATTCATCCACTCACATAATTTTAACTAACAATCACTTCCAATCATTTTCTCCTATTTTTACATCAAATCAACTTTAATTATTTAATTTAAATATTATTTTAATATATCCACTAACAACTAACCATACTACTTTTTTAAAACTTAACTGTAGTTAACAAAAAAAACTACTCCCTCCTATTTTTTTTAAATATCATTTTGGTTTTATTAACTATTCACCAAATAAATGTCATTTTAGATCTTTTGTACATATTTTTCTATTATTACCCTCATTTAGCTAATAAATACATTACGTCTTTTCATATTCGCTCTTCACATTTTCTCAAAACATTCATCTCTATCTTCATGTTATTTACAAAAAAATATTCTTAATTAATGTACAACTTCTCAAAGCGGCATATATTAAAAATAGCGGCATATATTAAAAATAGGAGGTAGTAGTTTTTTTCTAGTTGAATTCATATTCAATCACCCCCTTACTCATCAACTCAAGTGTTCTGCAAGATGATTGCTCAACAAAATATGTCCATTTTCATTTAATTATGAAACGAAACAATAAATATTAACAAAAATTATAATGTGAGTGTAATGGAAATAATATGTAAATCCTATCATTGAAAATTGACAATAATTGTTTGGATATTAAATGACTTCATTGTGAGAAGAAAATGATAATTAGTGTTTAATATTATTTCGGAACACAAACTTCATGTATAATTGTCTGATAGTTATGCCTCGTTTGATAGCCGAGATATGACAAGATTAGGTCTGCAATCTTGCGTTGATCTTATCTTATGTTTGTTGTCCAAGACTATGGCCCGCAAAATAAGACTCGGCCCGAGATCAAAATGCAATTAATCTTCAAGATAAAACAATCTCGAGATGGAGGTGGAATTTTGTTTATCTATACAATTACCAAATAGACAAATGTCTAATTTGCCCCTCAATCACAACAATTACTTTCTTAAACAATCGCCTTTCCCCATTTTCTACATTCATTCGACGGTCACTGACCAGCGACATTCGAATTAACAGTCATATATAACAAATATATGGGTCTAATTTTATCTATACATTACAATCTACTCTTTTCATATTAATTTAGCCCAATCATTGCATATAACAAACGGTCCTTAGTGTATTGACTTATTATACTTTGGAATTTGGAAATAAAATTGAATCTGCACAATTACATCATTTTAAAATTTTATAATACAATAGAAATTGAAAAAATTGAAAAAAAAAAATAAAAAAAATATTTTAGTTGGTCTTTAACTTTTGACTACTGGGTTTAGTTTGTGATGGACTATAACATGTTGATGTTAGTTATATCTTTTGAATTTTGTGGAGCCACTAACTGAATGTAAAATCAATTTGCTCATCAAATTTTGCAATTGTGAGATGCAAAAGATTCTGTTTGATTTGCAAAGAAACACATTGAGTAATGTGCTATTTTCCAACATTTCTTCATATTTCAGCAACATATAAATGGGGGTTGTTTTGTGAATTTACAAGTTAGTTGAGT